GGGGAGGGCAAAGGAGGGGGAGATAGGGGAGGAGGGAGGAGGAGAGGGGGGAGGGTGAGTCGCAATACCTCTCAGAATTACGTGCACAACGATTTATCTCCTCAGTACCTGTTTTTTTTTTAAAGAAATTTCTCGTCAACGATTGTGAATTTCACAATTTTATAATAATATTATATCAAGCTTTTTCGAAAGCTTTTCTTTGAATATCTTGATGACTGTTCCGAATAATAGTACGATTGTGATAGAGTTGAAAGAGCATAATTTATTATCTTTTATTTTGTTTTTTGATCTCATGGTTTTAGTCATTCAAATTGGCCAAAAATGTCATATAGAACTTTGTTATTCTGAAAACGTTGAAGGGGGAGGGGGGGGGCGGTGGTCCACATGCCTGGGACAGACGTCTCTGAGCTAGGACTAGGACTATTATAGGACTGTGAGGACACGCACCCGTAGCCACGAGAGGACCCATTAGGACATGGAGATCTTATTCTGACACTCCGGGATATTATCTCATGGTGGTCCGTGCGACTTCATCTTTTTGACGTCTGCGTGCGAGGCGGCTTTCTTTTTCTTTTATGGCTAAAACAGCACCTGGACTTGGATGGCTAGAACTTCTATAAATGACTTATTGATGGTCAAGAGGGCTTTTTTATTTGTTAAGATTTATTTTTAGTTTAGTTTTAGTAGAGGTTTTACAGCATACACAAGGTCATATTAGCGCCAGAAGATTAGAGGTGTTACAAGAGAGTAACAGACATAAAAAAAGAAGAAGATGAGGACGATAGATGTTAAATGGAAAAGAAGAAGCAAACCACACCAGAGCACCCGCCAACCACTCGCAGATTTTATTTGTAAATGACAGATGCAAGGTGCATGAACTTACATAAAGTTACGTTAAAAAGAAGAATGAATTTGACAGATGTAGGAGACAGGGTTTTTATTGACAGGACATTAACATAGATAGTTGGGTGCCTCTTTAACGAAATAACGAAATAATTGTACAATTTTTGTTTCAGTATAGGCTTTTGTACTCGTGTCCATGCTTGCAAACAAGCGTTTGTGTCTGAGTACATGCTGGCCTGCTTGCATTCATATGTACTCACAAGCAAGCATACCTACATACATACATACATCTCTGTATATACATACACCCATACTTACATACATCTACCCATACTTACATACATCTACCCATACTTACATACATACACTGTTGCTTACATATTTTTCCTATATTAGCATACTTACACCAGTACTTACATACGTATACCCTTACAGACATACATCAATACTCACTTACATTGGTTCATACTTACATAATTATATACATCCATACTTACGAAAGTAAACCCACAAGTACATATTATACACACCCAAACGTACATACACCTATATTTACACACATACATACAAACATACATGTGTTCATACGTGCATGCACACATGATTTCGCACTCAAACGCGCGCACGCACACACACACACACACACACACACACACACACACACACACACACAAACACCAACAAAAAAAAACAACACACACACACACACA